CATGCTCGTACATCTGGACTGTTCACAGCCACGAGGTAACCATGTCCTTTAGTACCCGGAACCCAGTGCACTAGAACCCTGACTCCATTCTTCAACTCAAATCCGGGTCCAGGTCTCGGCGCTTTTCTCGATTCACCTTGTTTCGTGGCTGGCTTCACAGCATCTCTCCCCGACAATTGTCCATTTTCCCAAGCAGCATACACTTGTTTCACCTTCTCGAAGACTTTATTTGTCGCCCTTGCCAATATCATGTAAGGGTCGAGGAAGTCGGACCACTCCTTGCTCCAATGCCCAATCGACAAAATAACCAAATGATCAATCCCAGTCAAGCGAAGAGCCTCCGCCGCGAACTTTCTGTACTCTGCATTTTTCACATATGCAGCAGATCCGCCTTTAGCATCAGGACGGTCCGATGCCAGCCACAACTTTCTTATGTCCTGAATGACAACAATCTGGTGTGGTGGAGTGTTCCATTTGTCCTTCACGTTCTGGAAGGTGCTCAAGGTGTCGTAACTATCCATGCTCCTATCTGGATAGTAAATAAGCCTTGCAGTCCAGTAATCCAAACGGAGCTCACGGGCGATGTCAGGGCGCTCATGAAAACATTTCCTTGCCGCTGCCACATTATGTTGACCGCTGAGAGGGTACCAGTGTGGACGAATTGGAGATAAAATTCGGCAGGTGTCACTCTTCTTGCTCTCACAGGTTTTCCTGAAGCGTCAATATGCATTCTATCATGCAGCCCAACCAACAAAAGGACAGGTTTCTTATACAATGTACATACGTTCATCCCGTCAGCTGTTGTCGTTCTCTCTGATAGTTGCCTTACCCTATGCAACCATTGCGTCGTAAATGTCATCAATATGTTGCTGTCCGAGAAAACTTTGATTATATCTGAACTCGTCATCAGGGATATCCACAATTCTGTCAAACTTGACAGAAATGAACTGTATGTCTAGCCTTTAGTTCCCATTCTCGTCGAACTCAAGGAAGAAGCCTTTGTCGAGATGACCAGAAGAGTTTCCCGGTCGCATAATTTGCAAACTCGGCGGCCTGGTAACTGTCTTGCCCGTGGCCTCTTCATTTGATTGCGGGTGCTCCGGTGGAAAAATGGAAGTTGTTTCCATCACACCTCCCTTCACCGCTTTTTCATTTGGCTGCTGTTTTTTCTTCGTGGCCGCCTCAGCCTCTTGTATATGCTGGGCCGCCTCATCCATTGGCAGAAGTTTAACCTTTCGTTTGTGACCCCCTTCCTGCTTGTTTTTTTTACTGTCCAAAGCACTTCTCCTCTCTTGCCTGTTCTTCCTCTTTTTCTCAGCGAGCCCTGCGATATCGACATGCGCCGTCACGCCCATCATTTCGTGGTGCATTCCCCCGCCCCCGCGACGCACATCTCATTGTCGTTGTCCTGGTGGAACCTGCCGTTCTTGTTCGCGACCCCGACGCACATCTTGATATCCTCCCTCGCTGACCGTTTCCTGTTCTTGCCCTTCACCCTCATATTCCATCCCCAGACCACCCTCTAATGTGCCGCCCCTTTCGCTGATAGTATGCTCACTATCTCCTTCTTGTTCTTTTTCACGTTTTCCTTTCTCATCGTCACCCTCCGCATATTCTTTTTGTTCTTCACTGGTTCTGAATCTTCCTTGCTGTTCTCCTCATCTTCATGTCCAAAATATTCAAGGACCCCTTCAGCAGTGCTTGGCATGGTGTAGTCATAGTGCGGTTGGCAGACCAAGTCAAAAGGTTCCTTGGTTGCTGCTGGTCCGGACTTCATAGGGGCAGATGGCATGACTTAACCGTGGTACGGACCTTTCTCCCCGATCTGGCCAGATTTCGGAACTCGCGGTGTAATAGCAGGAGTCCGATGCCCAATTGGAGGGCGGATCCCTATTGTGAGCAGTTTCGATGAGGATGCTGCCTCCAAGAATGTCGAAAGCACACTTTTCGGCTCAGATATGCGGTCTTCAGCATGCACTACCCGCTCATGCCCTGCAACCACATTACTGTCGAAGAATTCGAAAACCGCGACAAGGTCTGGCAACGTCAATTTCTTCGTTCCCGGCGGATTGAAGATATTAACAAGCGACTTGCCGTATCCTGCGTGCTTGTCTCATCGAAGAGCAACGTGCTTGACATTTGACACCCGCTGTCTTTTACCGTTCAAGACCATAGTCATCTCCATCATTGCGAACGGTTTACCTTATCCACTCCATTTCACCACGCCCCAATCGGTGCAATAGTATCTTTTATGACAACATATAGAACTAGTCCACTCGAGGATTCCCCTATGCCACCCACCGAGTCCAACATCCAGTACTTGTCTTTGTGGTCGACGACGGGCACATCGTCTCCCACACCTGCCACGGACGTGTCACCAGACCTTTTACGCATGTGCACGTCATCTATCGCAGATTTCGCCTGCCGACCACCAGGTATTCGCTCCTGACCCGCAGGTCCGACACTCATCAACATAGCCACATCCGATCCAGAACCACGAACACGAGTGGACGGAGTGCCCGTGGAAGGCGGACCCCGTTGGACCGGGGTGCGTTGGCCCTTAGATCCCAGTATCTCCTCTTTCCCCATGGCAGTGGTCGGCGTCCCCTTTGACTTTTTCGGCAAATGTTCCATGCTCCCTGAACTTGTACTAGCACGTCGTTTGCTTTGCTTACCCTTCCGATCCATTGTGAGAGGTTTCTCAAATTTGAAAGGAAACGCACAAGTGCAAACGCAATCATTGCCTTGCAGCAGTCTTCATACCATAAAAAAGCAGAACAGGATGAGATATGGACATGAAAAAACAGTCTTGGCACACCGGGCGAACATCATGTACGAAAATTCGGACACGACGATGAAACTGTGGCAATATTGTGTGCCCACGAGACAGACACTTCAGTGGCGGTCGTGTCCGACACGACCGCGATTAGTAAAGGTTCTGCGGCGGGGCAACGACGCACACACTCTTCAGCGGCGATCGTGTCGAACACGAGAAACAAAGGACGGGAGTTGTCGTGTCCGACACGACGAAGAGGAGTACAGACCAGGACTTGACGTGTCGAACACAACCAATAGAGGCAAGTACAGGTCGGGAGGTAATGTCTCTTCTTGTTCGACACGACAAAAGTTCACACCGATGAGCCGAGCAAGACAACAACTGCAATCGGTCAGCCAACGACGTATTTTGCAAAACATCAAGATCGAGTCGGATACGATGATGAAAGCGGGGCAATATTGGTGCACCAGGAAACTGTCCCTTAACCTCGTGGTTGTGTCCGACTCAACGGTGGTTAGTGCCGGTCCTGAGGTCGCGCAAAGACGCACGCACTCTCCCATGGCGATCGTGTCGAACACGACAAACAGAGGACGAAAGTTGTCGTGTTCGACACGATGACGTTAAGCACAGGGCAGGACTTGCCGTGTCGAACACGAGGAAAAGAGGTCGTCGTGTGCGACATGTCAAGCACAGGTCGGGAGTTCATGCGTCTTCGTGCTCGACACGACATAGCCCACACGGATTACTCTGGCGAGTTCATGTGTCTTCGTGTTCGACACAATAAAGCTAACATGGATGAGTCAAGAGAGACATGTCAAATCCACAGAGTCGGCAGAAAGTGTCAGTCGACGACAGTCAAGCGAGATATGTCAAATCAACAGTATTAACAGAAAGACTCATTGGACAACAATCGTTTGTTCACAGGCCATCGAAATACATGATGAGGACAACAATCACACACTGCACATTTGTCGGTCAATGGAAAGTCCATTAGAATGCAGTCCAAAAATTCAAAAACGCGACAATTTGTTCATGTTCATGGCATCACGAGAAAAAAAGTTGCCAACAGCGGACTGTTCGTACCGGAAAAAAGATCGTTTTCGAAACACTGACAATGGAAGTGTCGGACAAGCAGATGAAACGAAGAATGAACAATGTGGACAATGCCAACTACAACAACGACATGAACGACAAATAGAAAAACGCATCCAACGGCCAAAAACACCTAACGACGACGGGAAACGACCAAGGACATCTAACGACGACGGGGAACTCTCCCGCTGTTGCACCCATCCGATATGCCAAACACCGATCCAAAGGTCAAATATTGTGGTTCCTCGGCGGTGGCCATCTCAGCGAAGACGGAAATGTAATTTATGCGCATGAAGCCGGACTTTCCGCCGAGTGAACAGCCTATAGCATCCCGAATAGAGATCAGTTTTGTCTCAACCTCACGCTATGCGCTGACGTCATCCACCTTGCCACCGACAACGATATCCAATTTCTCATTGATTTCTCTTTGAACTAAACTCATATCCCTTCCGGACATATACAACTCATTACTGGACACATACACGACAGCGTCAGTCAAGTTCCTGGTCCTGTTCGAACATGCAATGCAGAGGACCCTACAAAAAGTGAATTCTCTGAGACGCAATCTCACACAGCAATATAACACTGCACGAGGCGACAGACTAGGAGACCGCAAAGGATACTGATCGAGGAACTCTGAGTGTCGCGCGCAGTCGAGCTCCTGTTTCATCACACGGCCACATGTGTGTGACGAGGATGTCACGTATTCGCAATCTAGAACACTGAAAAGGCTGTTCAGTTTCAACTGCTTACACAACTGACGCAATCACACGGGATCTAGCACATCGGAGCGCATAGGAATATAACTTCCGAAGTCCAACATATTCGCGAACTTACAGTCTTTTGCCCACAGGCACTTCGTGATCATGTTCTCTCAGTGATACTCTTTCCAAGAGTCCAACGGTTCCTCGATAAACGGGACGACCGACATCCAAGGATCACACTCGAAGTCCGCCGAACTCGCGCTGGCGACGGTTGTGTGCTCCCGACATCGGCGGATGTGCAGCGCACAAGGAGGAAAAGGGTGTGCCTTTCATTCACGCCAAATTGCAGCGGTCATCCTGTGAGAGATCTCCATCGCAACCGCGAAGCGCCCTGCATGGCATAAGTTCAGCAATCAACAACGGCACAACGTCGACGGAGCAGAGAAAAATTGTTCTCGTCCTGACAATGCAAACAAACTGAAGAGAACAATTGTCTTCGGCCTGACAATGCAAACAAACAAGCTCACACGACATCGCAAGACGTGTGTCTTCGGCCTGATAATCCAAATGAACTGAAAAAAACAATTATCTTCGGCTTGATAATGCAAACAAACGGAAGAGAACAATTGTCGTCGGTTGTCGTGTTCAACACGACGGTCGTCGCTCGCCGGTAATGTCCGACATTGGACCATATGGCTCAAGAGGTCGAGGGCGCAGTGGAAAGTGACGGTTGTCGAGGTCCAAACGACGACCTAAACTGCTCATGCATACACGACTCTGGCGGCCGATCGTCGTGCCCAACACGATGACCAAAATATCAGCTTCCCGCGGACACTACCCGAGTTCACTTGTTGGACACGACAATCGGCCACGGATTTCTAACCCACAACAATGGACGACATTCACCATGTTCCGTATCTGAAGCAGTGTCTATGCCTGAAAGGTGTAGTTGACCACCAAACACCGTGGGGCTGGACACGACAACCCCGGACTTGTGCTTTCATCAAACGTTTGTGAGCGGTTGTCGTGTCGAACACGACAAACACAGCCAACCCAGCATTGGCAGTCGCCTGCAGACACGTTATGCCTTCGGCGTGAATGCCCTTCCTCTAGGGTCGAACACGATAGTCGAGTCCGACACGATCGTCTCACTCGACACGATCGTCGTGTTCAACACGAATGCCGTGCTAGACAGGATTGTCGTGTTGGACACGACGATCGTGTTCGACACGACGTTCTTGTCCGATTCGTCGATCGTGCTGGACTCGACGATTGTGTTGGACTTGACGATTGTGTTCTACTTGACGATCGTGTCAGACTCGACGATCGTGTTCGACACGACGATTGTCTTCAACTCGACGACTATGTTCTACCTGACGATTGTGTCGGACTCGACGATCGTGTTCGATACGACGATCGTCTTCGACTCGACGATCGTATTCTACCTAACGATCGTGTCGGACTCGACGATCGTGTCGAACTCGACGATCGTGTTGGACTCGATGATCGTGTTCTACAAGACGATCGTGACGGACTCGACGATTGTGTTGGACGACGATCGTGTCGGACTCGACGATCGTGTTGGACTCGACGGTCATGTTCGACACGGCGATCGTGACGGATTCGACGATCGTGCTAGACTCGACGATCGTGTTCTACTCGACGACTGTGTTCTCGACCTGACGATTGTGTCGGACTCGACGATCGTGTCGGACACGACGATCGTGTTGGACTCGACGATCGTGTTCTACCTGACGATCGTGTCGGACTCGACGATCGTGTTGGACGTGTTCGACACGACGATCGTGTCGGACTTGATGATCGTGTCGGACTCGACGATCATATCGGACTCGACGATCGTGTCGGACTCGACGATCGTGTCAGACGTGTTCGACACGACGATGGTGACGGACTCGACGTTCGTGTTGGGCTCGACGATCGTGTTCGACTGGACGATCGTGTTCGACTCAACGATCGTGTTCAACTCGACGACAGGGCACTGTCGAGGTGTTTCGTCGTGAAAATTTTGCTGCGTCAACGTTCTCGTCGTGTTCGATTCGACCATGTCCCTCCGTCATCGTGTTCGACACGACCGCTGTCAAGTGGAAGTGCCACTTGGCGTTCCGTGGTTGCATCTCGGCTGTCTGGTTACATCCTCACCATTTATTCCTATGGACTTGGGGTGCTACGGTGTGGTCCTTCGTCGCGTACTGGGATCGTCGTCTACTGCGCTCCTTCGTCTCGACCTGGGGTCCTGCGTGTGAAGCTTCGCTGTGGTCATGAGTGCTCCGGCGCCAACGAGCCTCCGCTGCGCTCCGTCGTCGTGTCTTGGGTGCTCCGGCGCCAACGAGCCTCCGCTGCACTCCGTCGTCGTGTCCTGTGGTCATCTGCTGGGCAAGAACCTCCGCTGCGTTGCACTGTCGCTGCATTGTCCTCCGAAAGCCAGAAATGGAAAGTGGTGGGCCCCCTCCATATATATAGTTTTTCGGTTTGGCCATTCAGATGCGCGGAATGGTCGTCGGATCCCGAAAATCCGATGGTCGGGATCCGATGTGGATCCGTTGGTGCCTCCGGTGCACCGCCTCGTTTTACCCCCCGTGAATCTTGGCCGTCGAATCGTCGGGCAGCTGACGACCACGATAATTTTTCTCCCTAGAACGGGCCCGGGCCAAAGCGGAACCGCAGGAACGACGTTTCGTGACTGGGTGTGTCCCTGTGCTACAGATGAACGTTTCCCACATGAGTAGCTGCGACATTTCGCAAGCGCTCCGTTATTCACGTTCTGGGAAAAGCAGCGCTGCAGTCCGACCGTCCGCCCGCGTGGACAAGACAACTCGATCGCTCTCCAGGTGAGTACCATACCTGTGATCCCCTTCCCCCCCCCCCCCCCCCCCCCCC